GCTACTCTTGCGAAAGGTTTTGCCTTGTTAAAAATGCCAAAGATGCCTGAACTAAGAGGAAAATGTTTTCCAGACTTTACTCCAGTCACTGTTAATACAGACTCCATTCCATTTAAGGATAAAAATAGAGAAAAACAGAGACAAAAGCAACTAGAGCAACTAGAACAACAAAGAAAGGAAAGACAGGAAAGTGGAGGAAAAAAGAAATTAATAAAGAACAAATCCTGGTCAAAGCAGAAAGCCAAAAAGGAGAAGAAAAAGAAAGCAACAGCTAAAAGGAAACATGAAGAGGTAACTGTGCCCATTCTCTTAAGAAACATGTCATTGTTATAACATAGGTGCAGTACTTTGAAAAGGCAGGGAGCAAAGGGATTTTAGTCTGACATAAGTGAGATGCACTGCAGAATTACAGACTGAAAATTAACTTTCTAGGCCCTTGACAGGCAAAGTATAAAAATAAAAAGCATAGAAGAAGCTTTTTAGATCTAAACACAAAAACAACTTACTAGTGGTAGTGAATAATGCTGCCAGCATAGGCTGCATGGGTTTTCCTTCCACGAGCTCCAGCAGCACTTAATTGGACAGTACTTCGTTGTTGTTACTGCTTTTTAAATTCTCAATAGGTGTAACAGAGTTAGATAGTTTCCTAGGTAGAACCTGAGTATTATTTCCTGCTTGGACTCTTCTGGCAAAGTGTGGGTTGTAAAATTCTGTTGTGTTCAGATGTATAGAATGAACATGGTTTGGTGTTGAATTTAATTTTCTGTTTTTCAACTGCCAACAGGGCTCTGATGTTGACGATGAGGACATGGAAGAGTTGCTGAATGACACAAGACTCTTGAAAAGATTAAAAAAGGGGAAAATTAGTGAAGAAGAGTTTGAGAAGAGACTAACAGGCACCCAAAGCAAACTGAAAGCAGAAACTGTTGCTGACTTAGAGTCTGAATGTTGACAGTTGTTCTAACCAGACTTTTATGTTGATATTGCCTATTTCAATAAAACAAAACATTTGTAACAAAATAATGATGCAGAGAGCAGAACTGATCTAATTTCTTCATAAAGGGACCTAACAGGTCGCTTTCTTCAGGTATGTACCACAGATCAGTAAGTGACACCACACTTTACAATGAGTCTGAATGCACCGTAAGGTATTTTATTTTACAGTATCAAAATATTCCACCCATCTTTAAAACATTTCAGGTCTTCAGAAGCTGTAGCGACTTTTTTTTTTTTAATCAGTGGTCCATCCACTGGTAATGCTTTGCCTTAAATTCAAGAAGGCTCATAGTTACTTCAATCCTTATAATGTTGTCTTCTTACCACATCCATATAACTTACATCATCTTCCACTTTCTTACAACTGTGATAGTCGTTGAAGATGACACATTCTGTACAGTGTCCTTTTTGTTACAGATAGAGTTTAATAAGTTCATCACTGACAGCTGACGGAGTTAACACACCAAGGTCTGTAAACAGTAACGTGATTAGTGATGGTGATGTGTAGTCAATCCAGGGATGCTCCTCTGTTAGATTCGGACTTGTTTTCAGAGTGTCTGCTTTGTACTAGAAGGAAACGAGACCATTAGTTATTACACATCTGCAAGCTAAAAACCCCTTTTGGGCAAGGGTGGTTGTGAGCAGATGTTTGTGGTAAAACTGAAGGAAGTCCATTTAAAAATGGCACAGGCTGCCACCTTCGTCCCAACTGTTTTATCTTTTGTACAAACTATAGTTTGTAGTTCTGAAGTGTCTCAATCTAGCTATTTCTTGTCCTCAGCTACTCCTCCACCCCAAAGGAACCACTTTAGGAAGTCAGTGATCGTATTAAGACAACTTATGGCTGTCTGACGTTTGACTTTACAATGGAGCAACTCCATATTATGTCAAGTAAGCTAGAGTAGACATCCAAATAAATGAAGACGTGCTCAGAAGAAAATTACTCATAGACACGTGAGTGGATCTTAGCCTGCTACGAAAAAAAAAAAGCATTCCTCTTACCTTAAACTTATCTGGGACATCCCGTTGATTTAGAGGGAAAAGCCTCACAAACTTGAAACTTTCTGCTACCACATAAAATGGCTTATTCTGAGCTTTGGCGCACACAGCAATTTGATTTGTGCCAATCTGTGGAGACATGTAGAAAACATGCAGACTTGGTGCTAGGAGGACATAATACTGCAATATTTTTAACAACAAAAAAACTGACATACTGGATAACGCCCCAATAGAGCAAGGATTTTTCAGAAATCCCTGACTTCTTCAAATTTTTAGAGTCCAGAGTTTACAGAATGTTATAGTAAACTCACTACTTATTACCTTGTTAATAATGCCTCCACTTTCAACTACACCTTCAGCACCAACTAAGACCAGGTCCACTTTCTCCATAATGTAGCTGTTGAAGGGGGAAAAAAAGGCATTTTGCACTTAAGCAAGATGTGAGATTCAGAATTGTAATAGTTTCTTTTGTCACATTTTGGATTTATACTAAGCAGTAGTAATTTAGTAGTTAGCTTAAAAAAAGCCACAATGATAACACATGGGAAGTAGAAAAAAATGTAGCTGTTTTGTTTAGCACCTCAGTTCCTTTTTCCAAATATCCCTGAGATCTAAGATCCCTTAGGTCTGCCTCTATTCTTCATTCTAATAGGCAAACGTCAAATACTTGTTTTGTAGTAGGCATATTCTGCTAATCATGCACCTAAAGGTGTAACTTGTTTAGCTTGTTTGACGACTATGACAAACTAAGGAACAATTTCTGTAGTTTGAACAAGCTGCTAGGAAACATACATATAATTTAAAATAAAATTGTGACAAACAATATTAAGGTTTAATGATCAGACTTACCCAACTGCAGCATCCAGAATCACAGTCACAGGAATATCCAGCTTCCTCAGGGCTTTTGCCATTTTTTGCCTATTGAAATAACACGTTTGAAGCTAAGAAGACTTTTTAAAGACAATGCTAGAAAAATATTGTCTGAAAGACTGAAACCCGCAACTGCCCATATTGCTTGCCAGCAGTTTTGTACCCCCTAATAGAAAATAAGTTATCCCGTAGAAATGGAAACATTACAACAAACCCAGCAGAAGTAAAGCGAGGCTGTTTTAACAGTCAGGAATTACAGCTATAGAAAGATGAGTCAGTGAACTATTAAGATGACAGGTTACTAAGCCCTCTCAGCTTCTCCATCGCCATGATGTAAGAAATAACTACTAGCAATGCACTCCACGCTTTAAGCGAAGCTGATAAATCATACCTACTTAATTTGGCTGAACATACTTGATTCAAGTGAAAGTGGATAGCAACATGTATTATCCAGTATGCAGGATATGCTCTGAAGAGGGAAAGCTTGCTCTCTTGCTAACAGTAACATACTTTATTTGGCATCTTCAAACAATGTTACCTTGTTATCTAAATGTTTTGCTGTGTGATGCTTAAGACAATGCTGATTATTTTAGCCTACTTTTGAAGAAGGCAACTAGAAATCAATTATTTACTGTCTCCCGGGGAAACAGGTTGCTTGGCATGGATTGAGAGGTTGTAAACCTTTGAGGAAAACCTAGGTAAAACTGTAATGAGGATATTAGTATGGGAAATTGCTTGCTAATACTGATATTTCAGTTTTCCAGAATAATATGGTATTATTAGTCATACAGTTATCATTTAAAATGCTACAAAATCTCCCATATTTTAAAAAAAGCTAGTAGGATATTTGACGCTAGCTGAAACTTAACCTGCTAACCAAGCTCAAACACAAATTAATGAATACTTGCCCTGCTTGGTCTGGCTGTGATTCAGTAACATAAACGCTGAATCGCTTCTTTGACTCAACAGCTGCTTCTAACACTCTGAGGACCACTCTTGAGTAGGCATGTGTCAATATTCGCTGTCAGAAAAGATCAGATATTACTTTTTGCTGAACTTTAAAAAAAACTTTAGTTCTGTTAGTGGTGCCGGAGCTTTTAATTCACGCATCTGTCAACATCAAATAATAACATGATGTTTGTGTACTATAAAACACAGGATGGCAAACATACTGTGAGATGGACGCTATGTGGCCAGCCCTGACACTGTCGGGGGGTGACAATCTAATACTTTAAATGGAAAGTTGATGTTGTGATGCTTCAGCACCTCATAGAAGTAGGCCACAGCTTAATGCTGAATTGCATGGGAACTGAAGTAGGGGAGGGCAGAAGCCTTAACAAAATAAAGCAGCGGGTGATGTTATCCCTATGTACTTGCAGAAGCCGTATCAGACAACACTGCCATGAATGTGACTGAACTTCACTCCCCTCCTCTTCTGTTTTTCCATCAGTGCAAGCAGCAAAGCGCCAGAACAAGAGCAGCCCAGCCTCGGCCTACTTACAGCACCGTCTCTGATGAACGGATGACAGAGCTTGGCGATTTTGTTCCTCGACAGCGAGACCTTCCTCAGGAAAATCTCCCCGCGCTCGATCATGATTTCTTTGCATTTGGAGTAGTCCTGGAAGAGACGGTGAGGCGTCTGCTGCGAGCCCGCCGCGTCTCGGTGCCAGCAGCACGGCCGAGCGGGAGGCAGCCGCCCTTACCGAGTACTCCAGCGAGGTGAGGCTGATGAAGCGCAGGAACAGCTCCCCGCCGGAGGAAACGGCCACCGAGGAGTCCACGCGTGACAGGGTCTCGATGGCATCCAGCAGGCTGCTCCTCAGGCCCTGGATGGTCTCACCTGGCGTGTGTGGGGAGGGCAGAGAGAGGAGCGCGGTCAGGGCCGGGCCCGGGGGCTGGTGCCTGGCCCCGAGGGGCGGGGGGGGGGGATGCCCGGTGCCCACCTCGGTCCCGCTTGAGGAAGCCGAGCAGCGCGCGGATGGCGGCCACCGCCGAGGCCACGTCGGGGTCGTCCCTCAGCTGCGCCCTGAACGCCTCGATCAGGTCTGAAAGGGAAAAAGGAGGCGCCTCAGGCCCGGCCCGGCTCTGCCCGGCTCGGTCCCACCCCGGCCCCGCTGCGCGCCCCCCGGTACCGTCGGTGCTCATGGCCGCGCTCCCGGCCGCCTCCCCGCAGCCGTGGGCATGACGCGGCGCCCCTGGGCGTGACGTCATGCCGGGCCCTGACGTCATTTGGAAGCGCCTCGCAGCGGCGGCAGCGGCAGCGGCATGAGCGCGGGTGAGGCGGCGGCGGCGGGAGGGAGGGAGCGGGCCCCGGGCAGGGGGGGAGCTGAGGGCGGCCCTCAGGGGACCCGGTCCCGGCTCCTCGGAGCCGGCCCTGTCCCGGGGAGGCCGCGAAGCACGGCGCTGTGTCTGTTGCAGATGAAGAGCTCAGCCTGCTGGTCATCGTCATCGACACCAACCCCATCTGGTGGGGGAAGAGGGCGCAGGGGGAAGCTGAGGTACGGCTGCCGGGGCTGAGCTCGGAGGGAAAGGCTCCTTTTTTCCTTTTTTTTCCTCGCTCTTATCGAGTGGGCAGCGAACGGGGGTAACCTGGGGTTCCTGAGCAGTGCTTGTCTGATAGAATGGATGTTAGAATGCCTTTTTAAAAAGACCTGCTGCTGTGTGTCCATCAAAGCCTCGTATGAATGCTCCTTATGGAGAAAGGAAGCTCCAGATCTTAAAACCCAAGTTCTTCCAGCTGCAGTTACTCAAGAGCTTTCTTGTGAATTGTTTAGCTAGATGTTACTGTGCTGTTTCTGATTTTTTTTTTCTTTTTTTTTTTTTCAGCAGTTCACCCTCTCAAAATGCATCGATGCAGTGATGGTACTGGGAAATTCACATTTGTTTATGAATCGTACCAACAAGCTTGCAGTAATAGCAAGTCACACACAAGAAAGGTATAGGTGCTTCTTACCTGTGCTAAAGTTTAATGGGGGCTTTTCTATATATATATCCTGATACAGTGTAGGAGAAATAATCTGATTTAGTGCCTTACACAAAGCAAGAAAGAGACAATGAAAGTGACAAGTTTCTTATTTAAATGGGTATTTTTTTACCCAGATATTCATGTGTCTCAGGATCTACATGTAAGTGCAGGAATGGTATGTCTTTGCTTTTTTAAATGTCTTGGAAGGACAGTGAATGTTGGTATCACACCATTTAGGGTTTGAAGATTTTGTGCCCTAGGTTGCATTTTTAATGTCTAAATTATTTGAAATTATATTTCTGAATATTGTTGTCTAACAAGCTTAAAGTTGAAACAGAAATGCTTTTTACTTCCTTTCTTTCAGCCGTTTCTTGTACCCTGGGAAGCGCTGGGCTGTTGCCGATCTCCTTGGAGATGGCAGTAATTCTGTGGAATCTAATTGTTCTGGCAGCAAAGATGGAAAATATGAATTGTTAACAGCAATAAATGATGCAATTGCAGAAGAGATTAAAGATCTCATGACAAAAAGTAAGGAAAATAAATTTCTAGGTTTAATATTTTGAATTGCAGAGCACTTAGGCTCTCAAGGAGTTTTAGGAATTTTCTTTATTTTGATAATCTAAATTTGAATATGTTTAGAGTAGATAACTTTATTACGTTGGCACTTGGTGCCTGTCAGTTAATCTAATATGCCAAAGATAAAACTTGTAGGATTTAGTATGGTCAGATTGAGCAACTGTCTGTAATTTCTGTAACTTGTACTGCAGCTGACATGAGGGGCCAGCAAACAGAAACTTTGTTAGCAGGATCACTTGCTAAAGCACTTTGTTGTATCCTTTTTATTACAGAACTTTAAAAACCTTTATCTGTTTTCTAAGACTGTTTCCTATAATATTAATTGTGCTTCAATAGAGGCTTTACAATTACTGCATTTTATAATAACATTCAAAACTGAAATGTTTGCTTAATAACTGTGGGTCGTGCTTACTAAAATGTGTGTCGTTTACGGTGATGAATACATGGTACAGATATTGCAGTTACTTCCAAGGAATAGAACATAAATTCCTTAACATCATCTAATACAGATATTAACAAGATGAGCAAAGAGGTAAAAGGTAATACCTTTCTTTTGAGTATTTACACAAATATGTAAATCAGAATAATGAAAGAAAATGCATAACAATCAACCTTGATATTTCTAATCAATATTTAATTGTTTTTGGACAATAAATGAAATGGGCCTGCTTTCGTAACAACTCTGAATTAGTGTACAGATACTTGTCACGCATTTCTGCTGCTCTCTGTGCCACTGGGACTATAAGATAGTTTCATATATTTTAACTGAAATAATAAATCTAACACCTCGGGTGTTAGATATTTAACTGAAATGTTAAATGCTATAGAATTACAAGAGCAAACTACAAGGAATGAGTGTACTCATACATTTTATTTTCTTTTCAATACTTAGCCAATCAGGAAATGAAATCAAGGATTTTGGTAAGAGCTTTGCTGTTACTTTTCTGTTAGTCTTTAAATCCAGCGATACTATGTAGGTTAACAAGTCTGACTTGCTTTATTTAGGTCATAAAAGCTGCAGAAGACAGTGCATTGCAATATATGAATTTCATGAATGTGATCTTTGCAGCACAGAAACAGGTGAAGTTGTCATTTCATTTTGATCTTTTATTAATATGTAAAAGCATAAAAAAATGTTCATTTTTGTTATGATTGTGATCTGATTAAAGAATGCTTGAAAAGAAACCTGTCGTGCCCAGGGGGAAAGCTAATCAAGCTTTAAATAAATAAATAAAATTTCACATCACTACATCTTAACATAAAAGGTTTGCTAGACTAGTTTAAGATTCCTGTGTAAGTACAGACAGTAGCCTTTTGTCCTGCCTTGCAGGTAATGTGTACAAGGTACTTCTGCTGGTAGTTCTTTTAATGCCATGTGAGAGAACAGAGATGAGATTTGACTTTGTGTTCTGACCAAGGGAAAGAGCTTTGTTATCGCTGTGGTGGTCCTGCAGCTGTAAAAACATGTATGATGGTAAAACTGGTGAGGGTACATTGTTCATAGCTGAATTTCTGTTGTTTTTTGTTTGTTTGTTTTCTTCATGCTTTTCATCTCTTTGCTTGCAGAGTATTTTGATCGATGCCTGTGTCTTGGACTCTGATTCAGGTCTTCTACAACAGGTACAGAGTTTATTTTTACTTGCTGTTTACGTGAATTCATAGGTACTTGATGCTAGGCAGTCTGTCATATTGTAAAGGGAGACATTACACCCTTTTATATGACATCTTTTATGCCCTTTTATTATAACATAGATCTGTATTCCTTTCTTCTTCCTTTGGAACAATTACTATAAATTGTTTTCTTCTTTATAGGGCTAAACATATTTCATAGCAATTCACTTTGTTTTTTGAACAACAAAAACATGTGGGATAACACAGCAAATACTATGAGCTTACTAGGGTGTAAATTATGCCTCATGGCACATTATCTGGAGATGCTGTTTTTCAGAATTCTTCTCAAAGGAGGATTGGGGAGGGTAATTAGCAAAATCCTATAATTTTTTAGATATCACAGAGAGTATCACAGAGACTGAGGTATGAGTTGAACAATTGAGATGAATGAGAATAAATTTTTTCATTTGTCTCTGGATGTGAGATCATAGTTTATTTTTACACTTTAAATGATTCTTTTCTTTTCATAAGAGCAAGAGAGATACTTCATGATGGAAACAGTTGTTACCATTTCAATTTTTCTAAGTACTTTCATTTTTAGTTCTTTGAAACATGCAGACCTTGAGCAGCATGTGGATATTTTAAATAATGTGTAAATTTAAACAGACACAACAATCTGATCATGCTTTCTGTTTTCCAGGCCTGTGACATTACAGGTGGCATATACTTGAAAGTGCCCCATATGCCATCACTTCTGCAGTATTTATTGGTAAGATATTTAAAAAGCACTTAAAGTGTTTTTTCCTGTGTTAGACGTGAAATCTTACTGATTTCATTGACATGTTAATACAGCAGTACTCTTGCAATTTCTGAAATACATTTTCCTTTATTTGTATAGTGGGTATTTCTCCCTGATCAAGAGCAAAGAGCACAGCTTGTGCTTCCACCTCCTATTCATGTTGACTACAGAGCTGCATGTTTCTGTCATCGAAATCTCATTGAAATTGGTTATGTATGCTCTGTGTGCTTGTCAAGTAAGTTTATAAATATCTAAGACTCTAATTTCTTAAATTCCAATGGAACTATTTTAATGACAGAAATTTTTTATTTTTCAGTATTCTGCAACTTCAGTCCTATTTGTAGTACGTGCGAGTAAGTGTTTCTTCTTGTTTCAGAGTTGGGTGTGAAAATACGTTCAGTGTACCTGATAGCTTTTTTTTTTTTTTTTCAGGACTGCTTTCAAAATATCACTGCCACCTGTCATGAAAGCTAAGAAGAAGAAATTAAAGTTAGCTGCATAACAACACTACGTAAATGCACCATTGTCTCCTCCAGTAATTCCATGAAATGGAATGTACTAGAGAAATTGACAGCACTTTTTATAGGATATGAAAGAGAACTGTATGCAGTCTTACAACTTGTTTCTTACTGGATAAATATTTAAATAGTATTTTCTACACAGTAACAAATCGCTGTATTACCATGTAACCTGTGCTGTTTTAAGTACTATTTCTTAATTGTAAGCAGAAGTTGTAGCTTGTTAAGATGTAGATCTTGCAAAGTTAGAAGGTATTCTTGCCATTGCAAAGCTTCTACCTCCAAGTTATTTTCAAAGATAAAGCTCTGATTGGTTTTAGTCCTATGTTGGTGTAAAGATAAGTTATGACTACTCCTGATGTGTAGGTTCTGAGTCTTAGCACTGTGTTATTTGGGGACTTTGACATTCTGTTAACCTTTGCTACCTATTTTTTGAGTGAAACAGGCTCAGTTTCAGAATAAATAAACCAAAATTTTCAAGATGGTTTAGAAATCCCCTTCCGTTTAAAGATGTTAATTCTTCTGCATGTGCACACTTGCATGTTTTATATTCTTTTATTCCCTTTGATTGTGATTTTCTCCCAGTTGTGTTCTAACTAGTCTTCTCAAAGGAATACAGAAAGTTGTTATTTCCTACTTAAAAGAACTTTTCTTTCTTAAGGTGCATAGAGGAATTTGTGTAGTCTCAACGCTTGCATCATCAGGTTTTTATCAGCTTAACTTGTAATCAGGGCCCAACTCTTACTGGCTTGTTTCATCACCGAAAGCCATTTTGTTTGAAGCCTGTATTTATACTTTGTACAAACCATTTGTAATAAAACCTGCTCCTTTTCTCATACAGTTACTGCTGTGGCTACCACATCTTTTTAAGGGTGAGCCACACGGACTTGTTACAATTCCACTGTGTAAGAGCAGAGGAGGCTTGGGCAGGGAGGACATCTCTGGAGGAGTCAGGAGGAACCCCGAGACTCCGGGCCCGGCCTCGTCCCGGTGGCGGCGCTGCGGTGCCCGCCCTGAGGTGCCGAGGGCCCCGCCGCCTTCCCGCCCCTTCCCGTTGCCATGGCGCCGCGCTGCCGCCGCAAAATGGCGGCCGGGCGCCCGGCTTCTCGGCGGCGGGGCCCACCCTGACGCCATGGCGGCAGCGGGCCTCGGGGCGCTGCTGCTGCTGCTGATGGCAGCGGCAGCACCGCGGGCTGGGCAGCCCGGTGGGTGCCGGGGGGCGAGGGGAAGGCTGCTGAGGGGAGGGAACGCCGGGGACAGAGCGGGACCTTCCCCGGCTGACTGGCGATGGGCTAGGGCGGGAGGGCACGGAGCCCCCGAGGGGTGGCGTGGGGACGTGCACAATGTAAATACAGTCCTGTGGTAGGCAGCACGGGATAATTTGTGACTTTTGTGGCAATTCAAAGTATGGCAGGGTGTAAGAAGCCTAAATGTGAGATCTGGAATGCATCTTACATAGTGCCTTTTTCAGTTTCTGTGTGTATTAAAATGTGTTCCCCCTTCCCCCCTTTTTTTTCTTTTTAGTGTTTCAGCCTTCGTTTATCCATATGTCTGGGCTAAGAGTTAATTCGTTTTTTCATGGAAATTCTTCAGGAGTTAATTTTTATATAATATTAAATCCTATAGATAAAGAGACAGGTAAGAATGCTTCCCCCCCCCTCAAGTAGCATGTAAATTCATTTTTTTTTTTTTTTTCCTGCTAAAGTTACTGGAGCAATATGAGTTCATTTACTACTTTAACAGTTACTAAAATAGTAACTCCTAAGGACTTCTGCTGGTTAAGCCCTTAGTCCTCTGTCTGCTTGTCAGCTGAGCTTAAGGATGTGCCTACCTGAAGCCACGGGAGAAATTTAAATTTACTACTCATTCTTTTCAGTCTTTTCTAAATGAAAACACAGTATATATTTTTATTTTAATATAGGAAAATTGCAAGTTTCAAATTGCAGTGGAAGTAAAACAGCTGGTCATTGGAATTTGAGCGTAACACCTGGTGTGGTATGTAAAATACTGATTCTTCCCTAAAATAGGAAGGATTGGATTATCATATGTTAAGGGCTAATGAAATGTCAACAAAATGTTAATTTACTAGCAACCTGGTTTGCGTGTCTTGCCCTTGCCGTTTTTCTTTGATATAACTTGACATACAAAGCTGGTGAAGGGCCTGGAACACAAATCCTGTGAGGAGCAACTGAGGGCACTGGGGTTGTTCAGTCTGGAGCACAGGAGGCTCAGGGGAGACCTCACTGCTCTCTACAACTACCTGAAAGGAGGTTGTGGGGAGCTGAGGGTTGGTCTTTTCTCACAGATATTAGCGATAGAACAAGTGGGAATGGCCTCAAGTTGTGCCAGGGGAGGTTCAGGTTGATAATTAAAAGAAATCTCTTCTCAGAAACAGCAGTCAGGCAAAGGAACGGGTTGCCCAGGGAGGTGGTGGAGTCACTGTCCCTGGGGGTGTTCAAGGAAAGGTTGGACATGGTGCTTAGGGACATGGTTTAGTGGGTGATAGTGGTGGTAGGGTGATGGTTGGACCAGATGATCTTGGAGGTCTTTTCCAACCTTAATGATTCTATAGTTCAAGACTGTTACAGATCTACCGGAAGGAGCTGGTAACACAACAGCATTTTTATATAGCATGAGCTCTAGAACATCCACATCTATTACAATTGTTTTCAGCATTGGTTACGTTACATATAATTCTTTAAAGCTTTTGTCAACTCTGTAGTCATTTCAACCTTCAGCTGAAGGTAGCTATAAAAATTGAAATTTACATTTTTGGTTATTTGTTCTTTTCTTTAAAGCTATGTGTGCAATTTCTGAGGGAACTTGTTCTGCATGGATTCCTTACAATTCCGTGTACAGTTAATATACTCGTTTTATTTGCATATTCCAGTAGCATACCCTTAGTCATTCTGACTTCAACAAACATCTGATTTTTATATTGGAAGAAAATCATTGCATTGTGGTGCTGACAAAGTGGTACTGAAACTTCTCTTTTGGGAACTGATGAGTGATACAAATAAGAGCAATTTAATACAAGCTGTCATATCTGTCAAACTTTATTCTGCGTTTTTCAGGACACATCCAAAGTGATCATAGACTTGACTAGAAATCTTCAGTTGTGTTTGCCAAATGCCACTGACTGCTGCACAGCACCTCTCTGCGTGCTGGAAACACTTCAGGTTTTAGCTTGCCGTGATTCGGTGGTACTGGCACATCTCCTGATTCAAGCTGAAATATATGCCAACTCTTCCTTTACAGGAAACGTGTCAGGTAAGTGTTTAGATATGCTCAAGAAGAAATTGTATTTTCTTTTCCTCTATATATGAAAAAAGAAAATCTGGGACTTCAGCAGCAATGATTGATCCTTTGTAATTGTTAATAAAATTTAACAAAGGATTTATACACGGTTGGAATAAACTGTAATGTGCAGGGCCTACTTCTTGGGATTCTAGTTCATGTGGTTTAATTTGTCTCTTCTTTTTTTGTAATTCTTTTTAGAAGATGCATCTGTCATCCCTAACCAGGTGTTTCAGCCCTTGGGCCCTTGTCCTTGTGACCTGACAGATGGAGCTTGTGATGTCCGTTGTTGCTGTGATCCGGTACTTATTTCATACTAAACTTTGAAATGTTTCCAAAGTTTCTAGGCTCTGGGGAAAGTGAGGAGAGAGAGAGGTACTGATATTTCAAGCTAGAAGAAGGCTTGTCGGGGTTTTCTGGTATTTCTTATAGTATATAACACATCTCTTTACAAACCTGGTTTGTTTAACTGTGAGTAGGTTGTAGTGGCTACGGTAATGCAATTACTGAGCTAAAAAGTGACCGCTGTTTTCCCTTTCAGGAGTGTACACCAGATTTGAAGCAGTTATTCAATGAATCATGTTTCACTGGAGTGTTTGGTGGGGATGTAAACCCACCTTTTAATCAGCTGTGCTCTACAGAGACAGATGAATATACTCCTGATTGGTTTCCCTTCCTTTGCGTGCAGTCTTCTCTTAATAATACACCATTTCTTGGCTACTTTTATCATGGCTCTATGTAAGTTTTATTTTATTTTTTTCTCAACACATGCATTAGCCATGCTACTGAAACTGTAACTTGTTTTTTATAATGAAAGCTATTTTGAAACTGGAATTTGAAGGTGTGAACTTTAAATGCAAATGCAGAAATGTAATTGGTACTATATGAAAACATGGTATTTGAGAGCAGATGTATAATTATTTGCATGAGATAGGGAGTAAAGAATTGTTTAATTTTTGAACTTAGTTGCAGCTCTACACCAAGAGTTCCTTCATTTAAGATCCCTTTACAAACGTCTCATGCGAAAGTTTTCACTGGTTACAGTCAAGGAGATCCAATTATGACAGAAGAAAATGAGTATTTTACCATCCCCCAGGTAATCATGTCCTGTTTAGGGCTTCTGATTCCTCTTGGCTTGTTTGGCATTCTCTATCACATTCCTTATGTCTTTGTAACCAAATTCTGTAACTTGCTGTTTTGAACTGGTAAAAAATATTTTTCACCTAGCACAAAATCATTATTAAAAAGAACATTATCCTTCCTGTTTTCCCTACCCAACTCCCAAAATGGTAATGTTTTAATTATTTCAAGAGCTAAAAACAAGCTTGGCATCCCAATTAGTAGTTTATGGCTTATCATATTTCTGTATGTTATTTGTCTGTTATATTATGGAGCACTGTAGTTGTTTTCCCCTTGTCTCATCTGGCTGTATTTTTTTAATACATTCTGCATTATAGAGAGAGGCTTGTTAGTTAAAATTAATTTGAAAAATTGAGATGAAGCGGGACTGTGCATTATAGCTATTTTGAAAGCTGTCCATTTTAAATTGTAACCTCTTTTGTGATATTTTGCTAACATCAGATCACTTGCTTGTCAGTCATATATGGCTGTAGTACATATTTGGAGCATTTCACTGATAAATAGTTTTAAAATGAAAAGCAAGAAAAAAGCCCAATGTACGTATTTCTGTTGAATTACCTGCAGCAATCCATGGCGGGGCAGTGTGTTGGAAATGCCCCTGTAGCTTATCTTCATGACATTGATGTTAAGTGCCTCACTGATCTAACATCTTACAAAGAAGGACTGCCCCATGATGTGAGAATAAACAGTGGTACAGGAGGTATGTTGCATTAACCATAACAGAAATGTATTGTATGTTTTCCCAGCTGATAGAACAAAAGAAACCAGAGGACTTCTGACATGTCAGCTACATGTAATATCACTGATACCTGGTAGCTGTAGTTCAGCATTTGGGGATGCTCTAATCAGCATTTGGGGTGGTTTCTGACAGCCTTCTAACAAGATTCTCACAGTTACCCAGGACTTAAGATATAAGAAATAAACGGGAAACAAAAGCCAATCCCATTGTCTGTTTCTGGTGACTCATACTGAGTATGGCTACACATGACAGAATAAAGCATCTCTTGATGTTGTTTTGCAATTGTTGCAGAGCCCTTTTTCTGTCAAAAGGGTGCAGTATCATTTTAGAATTGGTGAGAGGTGCTTTTTTCTGCATTAACAAAGCATATACTTAGGAAGTGTCTTTCTGGAGTTCGAGATGGCATTATTAACAGCATGAAGATAATTTATTTTATACCGCCTAATTAAGTTGTCTAATTTTTTAATCTATACTACCTTTGTAAGATCCAGAGATAATTAGCTATGCTCTCATAATACATAAACAGTTTGGTCCTTTACCAAAAGTAATTTTCTAAATAATTTTCTGCTCCATTTCCATAATAAAAATGATTGTACCTTGGATGTGAAAATACTATCTATTAGTCAGGATTACTGCAGTGGTTTTTTTTATTCTCAGACTTCAT